GCTACACAATTTGGAAGCTACAGACTAACAGCAGAGTGAAATTTTTCTATTACTCATTTAGAATGCCATTAATTTAAAGAATGGGAAAAGTATCATTTTGAGGAATGGTGGTTTAATAAACTGGTTACTTGAATTAAAAGGATAATTATGAAAATATCTACGAGCATCCACTGAACACAGGTAGGTCCATAATTTTTTGATTATTCTTAAAAGAGCAAGTTGAAATGCAGATTCAAGTGACAGGCAACTCCTACAACAAATGTGACTTGCTGGTTATACGCTCAGGATCCAGGTTTTAGACGCAGGACTTTCTGTGGTAGAATTTTAAAGCCAGGGAGAACCCAGCCATCGTGTTACTCTCACCGCCCCTTTCAGGCACAGAACTGTTTCCAAGTGCCAAAGTCAACTTTTCATGAGTTAAGCCACTATTAGCATCGGGTGTACTTCATTCAAATCATTTTTCTATGAAATAACATTTCCTCATTCTAACATGTGCAACTTTTCATATTTTAATGTTTCTGAAAAGACATCTTAAAAATCGATGTACAAGTACAATGAGGTAGCAGTTTTTTCCTATAAAAAGCTATTGTTAATTCAATGACACATCTTTGAAGTATTTTCAAATCCAGTAAATATGTGACCTGTACTTCACTCTTAACATTACATTAACGCTGCACATCATATGCTTGTATGGCTCTATTCATACCTGATTCAAACATTTCCACATCATGAAACCCTTAGGTTCTTACCAGTTTCACTACTATTAAACACAATGATGTGAACAGCTGTGTCATATGTTAATGTCTATTCTATCNCTCAGCGGCCACATGCCCCACTGCAGTCCCAATCGGACTGTCCCCTTCTGCACTTCCACAGACAGAGACCCCTTCACTTTCTTCTTCTATCCCTGTGCAGGTTGAAGCGTGCCCGACTTCATTTCCTCTTCCAGTACTAGTGACAACACCCTCGCCTTCCTCATCCTCCTCTTTGGCACCCGTGCTGGTGACAACGCCTTCGTCATCACAGGGGCCGACGGCGACGGACGCTGTGTTCGTGACTTCTTTGGCTACTGTGCTGTCCATTGTACTCTCTCCATTTTCTTCGGATTCAGAGCTTATAGCAAAGCCTTCGCCGCTCTCCTCGGAACCGCTGCAACTCGCAGGGCCCTCTCCATCCTCTTCCGTGATCCCTGTGCTGGTGACGGCACTTTCACCCTCTGTGCCGTCATTCACAGAACCATCTCCCTCTTGGGTGGCACTTGTTCCTGGTGGCGTGTCATCGTCTACCAGGACCACGGCGGCACCTGTTACCATGCGCTCCTCCTGTGGCCCTGCACCAGTTACCGCGCACAGAGCAAAGTGGTCACTTCTCCTTTCCGCTCCTGTGCATGTCACTGTCCCCTCTGTTTCTTTCTTGGGGCCTGTTCTCGTCACAGTCCTCTGGAATCCATCGAGCTCTTCACTGCTTAACGATCCCGCTCGTATTTCGGTCCCAGCACTCGTTACGGCTCCATCGCTTTCAACTTCACTAATGAAAGTGACAGTTCCTTCAACTATTTCTGAGTCTCTATTGGAAGAGCCACCACATTTCTCTTCAGAGCCGGCACTGGTCACGGCGTCATCTTTCTCTTCCGTCACAGCACTGTTGACACTGTCTTCAACTGGAGCTGCCAGAGGCACAGGGTCTGCTGCGCGTCCTTCAGCCCCGGCCACAGCACACTCTCCACTTTCTCCTTCCTTGGTGCTGGTGAGGAAAGTTTCGCTTTCGGCGAATCCCTCTGTGACCACGCCCCCACCTTCTTCAGCTGCAGCAAAAACAGTGCCTTCGCTGGCTTCTGCCCCCACACGGAGAGGATTGTTTCTGCAGCAAGCGCCTGTTATGAGGCCTTCGTCGGCCTCGATGCTTGTGCAAGGCACAGCCACCTGCCCCGCGCCAGTTTCTGAAGATGTGGTTGTGGGGTTCCCGGCTTTCACAGGGTCTCCGATAATGCCTTTGTCCTTCCCTTCAGTACTAGTGGCAGCAGAAGTCTTTTCTGCTTTAGCAGACCCAGCTGTCACATTCTCAAGCTGTCCACTCCTTTGGTGTAAAGCAGACACTGCAGCGTTCCTTCCAGCACTGGTGTCCACCTCGCTGTTCTCATTCCTTCTTTCAACAGCAATTGACGTGTTTTCTACGTCACCTGGGCCTCTACTTTGCTTCAGTTCAACGGTTTTAGCATCTTGTTCAGTACTCTTGCCTACGATGTGGTCAACAGCAATGCCGTACCTTTTGCCATTTTCAACCACAGTTCTAACTGCCTGCTTTGAGGTGGGCTCCGTGCTTAAGTCACTTCCTTTCCTGGCCATGTCCATCGAGCTGCTGTCTTTGTTAACAGTCTCATTTTCCATAATGGTGCCTGTTAACTCGCTACCAAAAGGCATGTTTGCTTTTCCTGGGTTACTGTGCAGTACGGCGGCCTGGTAACCTTCTGGAATGTGCCTTTTGCTATCTGTGCTCGCTTTTGCTGCAGTATCTGCTGTGGAAACCGTACCACCTTCTTTGCTGTCACTTGTCCTAGGGACCTCCGATTCTCTAACAGTCAAACTTTGGCTAGGGGAACCAGAGTGGTCCGCAGGGGAGGTGCTGGCTGGGCCACCTTCTAACACAGTTCTTTTGTTAACTATAGGAATTACGCCTGAATCCTGGGCTTGTTTCTGAGGCACAACAGTCCCTGAACTTAGGGACGGTGAGGGGTCTAAATCTGTGGAATGTTCAAGAACAGCGTCTCCACGCTCTGCAGTGGGTCTTGTGTTTTTCAGATTCTTTTGTGCCCTGTCACTTTCTGACGGGG